TCCTCCGGGAGTGGGCGGCATACAAGACAAATAAATAAATAAATAAATAAATAAATAAATAAATAAATAAATAAAGCTCAGAATTATGTGTATTAAGTTTATGCTGTGAGAAGACAATATGGCAACTCATCTCTCTTAAACCAGTTCAATTAATTTTCAGTTTGACGCAAAAGTCTGGTATCTAGCTACCCACCTTTTCAACTGCCTTAAATGCCTCCAGGTCCAAATTGGAACAAGAATGTTCTTAGAAATAAAGTTCAGTAACAGTCAGAGACCAGGCCTTTTTGCTTGAAAGCTCTTGTTAACCCTTTTCCCTGGATGAGACTGTCACTCAAAGTTGTCTTTCACAAATGAAGAGGGGGGATAATCCTAAGAAACACTTATCAGGGAGATCAAGGAAGGGATTGCACAAGGCTACATGGAAAGCCTGAGGGAAGAGAAAATGGAAACCTATAGCTTCTGTGGCAACAAGCATGGGAAAGTGCATCCCGAGTGAGGTTAGGTACTGTTGTATTCTGGGAGCACATTGAAAAAGAGAGGCATTTTTGAAGAACAGATCAGAACAAAAGGATGGGCTTATGATCTTTGACTTAGCCCCATCTCTGTCTCATTTTTTAGCTTCATGGTTCTGTGAAATATGTATGTCACAAATAGCCATATCCAATCATTTTATGATGGCACCTGCAAGACATCTTCAAATCTCTTATTAGCTTTGAAATGTTGAAGATACTGTATATCTCTTTTTCTCTACTTGAGAAATATCAGGGCACTGATAATAATAAACAAAACAGATGCCACAAGGTATGCCACAAGGTGGCTAAATTTGGGTAGCTAGGGACATGCATAACATTTAGGGGAGGGCTCAGAACCACTGGGCAAGATCCATATGTACTCGTATGTAAGCTGATATGTGGATAAGCCAATCCTTGATTTTTAAAATCAAAATAAAAAAGATGTGCCACCTGCAGATAAGCTGAGCTACGTTTTTCATGGTATTTAGGTTAAAAATTCAACGGTCGGCTTAGCTGCAGGTAGATTATGTTTATATGAGATGCACGGGTACTTTAAAAAATACTAGACGACCTATGCCTTATTGGCTGATTGCTTCAGAGATATTTTCTTACCTATACACAGTAACCGAGGGTAAACAAAATAGCAGTGGGAGCAGGAGTGATTTCCAACTTCCTGCCAGCTTCTCCATCAAATTTCTTTGTGTGAATTTGGCAGGGAGCATCAAAAATTTCTCTTCCATTCCTTTTCCAACAGGCAGGTAAGTGGCTAAACGCAGGGAAATGGAGCAAGGGATTGCAAACTGGCTGTGAAACTGTCACAGAATGTTGAAAATGAATATGACATTGCCATAATCGCAGCGTTCGGGGGTCATGGATCTCAGATTTTGGACACATTCTTTAAGTTAGTCCATTTAAGGTACACTGGTTCAAAAATAGTTGCCCTATGATGCACTGTTTTGCCCAGTTAAAGGTCATGACAACAAGAGTTATAGTAATACAGATTACTGTATATACTTGCAGATAAGCCTATAGATAATCCAAAGCCAATTTTCTGGATGTATTTCGGTATCTAAAATTTTCAGTTTATCCACAAATGTATACAGTATATCCTTATATCCGTATATCCAGTATACCTATGTGAATGTTGATTGAAACCAAATTGTTTCAGCTTTTGGATTTGAATATTATTGAAAGTCTGAGATTTCAAACAAGCAAGGAGACCTAACAACATTTCTAAGATGAAAAAGTTCTGCAAGGAAAAGTGGGGAAAAATCCCAAAGCAAGAATGAATGAAAACTTTTAGAAACAGTTATGTCTTGCAAAGGACTCTCACAAAATACTAATTGAAAGCATGCCTTTTAGTCTGCACATACTACATTCTTACATTTCTTATTTTGTAAAGATTGTACATGAACAATGCATTCAAAGATGCAGAAAAATACCATGTTTAATTCAGTACAACTTAGAGAATGTGCCAGCTTCTCTCCTGATCAGGGGTTAAAAAAAAATTGTATTAGCAGATGTAACTTACCTCCTTTTATTACTTGTCCTGCTAGAAACAAAGCTGTTGAACCAGTAGCACAATTGTTGTTAACGTTTACAATAGGGATACCTGTTAGACCCAAATTGTGATAAATAGCCCTCTGCCCAGAGGTTGAGTCACCTTTAGAATAAAAAAAAGACATGCAGGGTCAGTTTTGATAAATACCAACATGTTTTCTAGTCTCTTTCTAAAGTTGCTAAATTTCTTCATGTTAACCTCTAAAGTGAATCATTAATTTTTAGCATGGCACGATGCATGCTTATATGATACCAACGTCCAGGGATTTATTCTGTGATTGCCCTGATTTAGTATGAAATGTGAATTAGTTGGGGACTTTTTGATGGGACAAAAAGGTCCTTATCCCAAACTGTAGAGTCACAGGTAGATTTTTAAAAATACATTCAATTCACAATTTATCTGTATCTTAAACAAGTGTCTTTTCTCCAATAAATTTTAACATTAAAATTTCAAGCCTGCAAGGTTGGGTTAAATGAACTTTCCTCCAAAAAACACTGCAATAAAAATAGCTTCTCCACCATTATCTATTTCACAATCCAATGTACTGATGGAAAGATTAAAGTTGTCAGCAATTCTAGCACTATAGTCTGCCTGCTCTGCAACATCTTGAAAAACACAATGGCTTCTTCTCACGTTTTGCCTCTCATTAGAAGAAAGCCCTAAATACTCAAGAGTGTTAGAAGATTGTGGGCTTCACTTACCATAAACATGGCCTACATATGCCTGCTCTATGAATGAGTATGGAATGCCTGCATCAGCAAGAGCCTTTTGACCTGAACAAGGTTAAAAAACATATTACAAAATCTTGATTAGAAACTTATTGTACAAGCCTGCAAGGACAGTTAAACTGTATGTAAAAGGCCAGATTTCAAAAGTAAAGAGTGTACAAGCACTCTTGGGCAGATTAAATAAACGTCTAATTTCAAAACTGTGTGTCAATCCAAACAAGGAGTCTGTAGTTATCATAACTTTTGGTTACAGGTAGTCCTTGATTTACAACTGCAATTGAGTCCAGAATTACAACTGTAAGTGGTGCTGGTTGTTAAGCAGGTCATTGTTTGACTGCATCTGGTATTATGACTTTTTGCCATGGTGGTTAAGGGAATGCAGTGGTCATAAAGCAAACACACAGTCATTAAGTGAACACCACAATCATTAAGCAAAGCCACTGTTCCGAATAGACGATTTTGCTGAAAACTGCAAATAAGCACTGGTTTCCAGGAAAACAACATGATAAATCGCAGTCACGGGACCACATGGTACAAACAGCTGTAAATGTATTTAAGGGATCAGCAATGTTTAAAATACATTTACATTTATGCCGTATTTTTAAATAAGTATTTTACAGAGGTTTTTATTGTATCCTGCCCACTCTTCTGAAGCAGAGGCCTGATCTGAAAGGAACATTATAAAATGATAACAATTAAAGTTCACACACAAAGCAATTCTTATTGCTTTTCTTATTCTTCTGCAGATAATTACATTTTCATACCTCTCTACCCCGTTTCCCTGAAAATAAGACCTCCCCGGATAATAAGCCGAATCGGGCTTTTGAGTGCATCCGCTAAAATAAGCCCTCCCCCCAAAATAAGCCCTCTCCGAAAATATTACAACATAGCAACAGCCATGAGGTGACCACACTCGCCGCCTCCTGCACCTCAAAAATAATAAGACCTTCCCGAAAATAAGGCCAAGCACTTATTTCGGGGGTCAAAAGAAAATAAGACCCTGTCTTATTTTGGGGAAAACATGATAGCATAAACAGCTGAACCTTAAACCCCATGGTTTCAAAACATGGCTAATGGCAAACAATACTGTTTGACTGTTTATACCACTAGCTATGTGCCTGGAGCACCAAACAAATAGCACATCCGTTACTGGCTGTGCCCAAGTTTTAAATATAATAGCCAGTATGTTACCTGCTTCCTTTGCCATATCTGGATAATCAAAATTTTTACGACGGCCAGGCTTTTCAAACTGTTAGGAAAAAAAGCAAATGTTGAAGATGCTTATGACCAAAAAATGTCTTCAAGTCCAAATTATTGCTAGATTTTTATTCCACTTTTTACATATAACTCAAGGTGGTGAACATACCTAATAATCCTGCTATCTCCTATTTTAAGGGGATACAGGGGTACTTTGGGAGGTCCTAGGCAGCCTGATGCAACCATACACAACTTAGGGAGGAAGGGGCTATGATATGTGCAACTGAGAGCAAGGAAGCCTGGAGCACACAGAGTGAATATGTGCAAGTACAGGGAGGCGCAAGGAAGGAGGGCCCAACACCATATCCAAAAAGATGGGAGTGACTTATCAGAGTGACTTGAGACCTGCCTCCTATTTTCTCCACAACAAACCTGTGAGTTGGCTTGGACTGAGCAAAAGTAACTGGCCCAAAGTCACCCATCTGACTTTCATGCCTAGGGCAACATTAGAACTCAAAGTCTCCTGCTGTTAAAGGAAACTTCAAGACCAAAACCAAGAAAACAAATAATTAAATTAATACATCTAAAGGACAACTTTCTGCAATAAGATAGTTCTTGACTTTGTGGAGTCCAAAATACATGATATGTGAGACATCTGTTGTGAGTTTTGCCTCATTTTACGACCTATCTTGTCACGGTTAAGTGAATCACTACAATTGACAAATTAGTAATCCAGTTCTTAAGTGAATCTGGTTTCCCCATTGACTTGGTCACAAATGGTGATCACATGAGCTTGGGACACATGAACCAATTTTCAAACATCTGAATTTTGATCACATGATTATGGGGATGCTGCAAAGTTCGTAATTGTGAAAAATGGTCACGAGTCACTTTTTTCAGTGCCATTATAACTTTAAATGGTCACTAAACTAAGTCTTTTAAGGGACGTATGAACATTGTATACAATTGTACCCAAACTCTGTCGCTCTCCTCAATTATCCTGAACCCAGAACATAATTGTTAATGCAATCTGTAATTTGGAACAGTCCATTGACAACATGGATTACAAACCTGCTTACCCGGGTTGCACAATAAATGAAATATTAATATGGAGAGTTCTGAGTGCTTCAGAAAAGATGGCATTATTAGTCACAGCAACATGGAGTTTTGACTCTAACTTCGGTCTCCTTTTGCAGTGCAGGAACAAGTTGGACTTTTCTTACAGAAAATGTTTAAACAACATACCAAGGATTCTTAAAAAGGAACAAATCAAAACCATGAACATTTATAATAACTTGGGAGCCATACAGGAGTGCAATTTCTTAGTCCAAATGTGATCTTGCAAAGGGATCCAGATCTTTGTTCAAGTTATACAAAAAAAAAAAATCTTATTGAGCAGTCATCAAATCTCCCCTCTCCCGGCACCTCACCAGAAAAAGTTATAGTAAACTTGACCTTTGGATGGGCTTGGACTGGCCCTGCCCTCTCTCATCCTAATCTACCACACAAAGCTGTTCTAAGGATAATGCTATAAACAACTGTAAAAACAAAGAAGTGAGAGGATTTTACTTTTGGGTAAAGACAGAGCCATTTTGGTGCAACGGTTAAGGCACCAAACTAGAAAATAGGAGGCAGGGAGCCTTAGGCACTCTGCTTGTCCAGTTTTGAAATAAAATAGTGAAAAGGGGGTAAAGGTTAAGGTTCCCTTCACACATATGTGCTCGTCATTCCCAATTCTAGGGGGTGGTGCTCATCTCCGTCTCAAAGCCGAAGAACCAGCGCTGTCCGAAGACTTCTCCATGGTCATGTGGTCGGCATGACTAAACACTGAAGGTGCATGGAACACTGTTACCTTCCCACCAGAGGTGGTTCCTATTTTCCTACTTGCATTTTTAAACTGCTTTCAAACTGCTAGGTTGGCAAAAGCTGGGACAAGTAACGGGAGCTCACTCCATTAATCCTTGCTAGGGATTCGAACCACCAAACTGCCAACTTTCTGATCAACAAGCTCAGCGTTTTAGCCACTGACCCACCGTGTCCCAATACAGAAAGGGGGAGGGGTTATTAAAAAAATAAGAAGCACCAATTGTCACTGGAGACTTAAGAGGTCAGAACTGTATTAAATGGTTCCTGACCTTTCCCTTAAAATGGTGTTTTCCCAATTTGGCAACTCTCAACACATCTTAAACTTACCAAATATGAAAACCACTGCCTTGGAACATTGGCAGCTGTGAAGGTCTGCAGAGAACAATCTGCAAAGCCAAACAAGGTTGCCCCATGCTTCACTGCAGAGAGGTCTGCCATACAGGTAATAATGTAAAAAGTCTGAACAGCTATAAACTATAGCTATGAAACAGTATAACTGTAAAAGAGAGTCAACTTTGGTGTAGCTAATAAGGCATCAGGCAATAAACCAGAAGACCATGAATTCCAGCCTTACCCACAAAGCCACTAAATGATCTTAAGCCAGTCACTCTTTCTCAGCCCTAGAAAGAAGGCAATGGTAAAGCCCTTCCTAAATGTTGACAAGAAAACTGCAAGGACTAGTGCAGTTGATTCGAAAGTACAGTACTGCAAAATGAGGGATAGGGAGGCAGGGCTGTGTCTCTTGGGGTGGGGGTGGGGAAATGCTGTTTTTTTTTTCCAAATGACTATTAGAAAATTCCCACCGAGAAAGGGAAACCGATTCCGCCCTCCTTCCCATTTTCCCACGCCAACTTCACCAAGCCTTTGAAGCAGCCTGCTCTGCTTTCCCAGACGTGACCACGGATGATGGTAATCGTAGTCCCACTCTAGAACCCGGAACACACTCCCAAGTATCCCGGCCCAGTCCAGTTACCTTGGTCATACCCACTCCGATGACAAAAACCCTTTTGCCTACGATCGGGACCAGGTTACTGCTGCTCTTGTCCATGATGCTCCCAGAATCTTGTGTGACCATAGCTGACACCAAACACACGCGAAAGAAATGCACGGATACTGCGACTTTCCTCCCCGTGCGAGCTTTTTGACAACACCTCTATACAATGGTCGAAAGCCGGGGCGGCGCCGAGTCTCCATCTCTCTCCTCCCTCTTAAAGCGGTAGCGCGAGTCTTTGGTCCTCTGAAAACCCAGCCTGAATTCTTGAGTCGGAAATAACAGGCTGAGCGAGCCCATCCCTGAGTATTGCAGAATGCTTTAGATCTCCAACTTTGATTAAAATAAGAGCTGGTCTCTAGCCCGCCGAAGAGCAGAAATTAGAATAAAAGGGGCATTCACTACTTATTTAGCAAATTTAAATAGCCACCCATCTCACACACAAAAATGACTTTTGGGTGGTATACAATCATAATAGCAATGAGGGGTCCTTGGTGCTCTCTGAGCTAGCTAATTTTCTTGCTGTCTTGGAGATTTTTTGGTTGGGCTGTTTACTGATGGCTCTTTGGCAGTTTCTTGATTGGGGTACTACTTGCTTTGTTGTTGGTCTAAGTTAACCTTGGAGTTAATCTATGCTTGATCTGAATGCTGAGTACCGGTGGAGAGGTGCTGGAGTCTTGTTCTCTTTTGGGCTGGTTGATTGTCTCTTTTCAATGTCTATGGATGTTGTTAATGTCTATGTGTCTATTGATGGCTGATTTGTCAGAGTGCCAAGCGTCTAGAAATTCCCTGGCATTTTTGGACTTGGCCTGGTCTAGGGTTGTCGTATTTTCCCAATTGAAACTATGGTTAAATCTGTCTAGATGTTGTGAAATTAAAGAATTTTCATCATGTCTTCTGACTGTCAATTGGTGTTCATGGATGTTTTACCAGTCTTCTACCTGTTTGCCCCACTATGTAGGACCCCTCAGTTCAACCCTGAGCTACAAATATTCTCCTTTATGGCATAAAGGAGTACCATAATAGCAATGAATATCAAAGCCAGCACTGCCTTAATTCTGTGTTTCCCAAACTTGGCAACTTTAAGACATGTGGACTTTAACTCCCAGAAATCCCCAGCCAGCAGGGTGGGGGGATAGAGAATTCTGGGAGTTGGAAGTCCATATGTCTTAAAGTTGCCAAGTTTGGGGATAATGTTGCAAAGAACAGGACCGTGGCTGCATTGGTGTTTATGCCACTTTACAATCTCTTGGTTACAGTCAGATCAAAATTATTGAACAAGCCTCCTTCCCTCCTATTATATAAAAGAAAGCTTTAGCAGCTGGCAGCAGTTCCTTCTACCATCCTTTCTCTAAGACTCAAAAGCTACTGTAATGAAACTCGAGTTTGGGTACTACTCGGGTCTGAAACCACCAGAAAATCCTCAAGCTGGCCATTTATTTTTGCATAGTCGCATAGAGAAAAATGCACGGACTTGTCCATAAGATCATCAGCAGTCGGTCTTAAAGCTAAGAAGCTTTTGATTGTATTTTTGGAATAAGAGAGATTTCGTGCTCGGAAGGGGGCGCTAGTGCCTTTTCCCTAAAGTATTGTACTTTTGACGGCTCCGAAGTTAGTTTGTTGTTTGAAACGTGTTCGTTTCAACTCGCACGAAGAGATCTGTGTTATTTTAACTGAATCGTAACAACTGGGACTCGCTTGCCCTCCGTCCTTGCTCCGTTAATAGCAGAGCCTCCGTTTGCTATTAAGTTGAATTCTCGGCCCAGCTGCTAAGTCCTAAAATGCTCCGCCTGGGCCAAGCAGCCGCTGTGCTGCGATTACTTTCTACGGAGGGCTGCTTGGGGACTGTAGGCATCACCCCGAGAAGACCCGCGTCCGGAGAGAAGAAAAAAGAGATCCTGTTACACGTGCATGGCAAGGCAGACTGCGGTGAGTGACTCCTGGGCCCCTCCCGAAGGCACAAGGGCACAGAAAGCATTTCTGAGCTATGTCTATGGAGATTCTCAGTCATCCAGGTCCGTTTTTTCAAGACGCAATTGGACTTTGTGTTTCTCCCGCCCCCTCTGAACAGACATTCAAAGAAAAACAAGAAAGTCCAGTTGCCTCTTGAAAAAGCACCTTTGGGACATGGGACAGTGAAATGCCTGACCCCTGGAAGAGGCCGGCCATCGTGCCGCCTGCTGCCCACTAGGCTGAAGGAAGAAGGAACTTTCTCCTTTCCCACAGCTGAGCGGTAGGGAAGAGAGAAAGAATGTGACCTGATCGGAGCCCGCGCGCTCTTCTTTTGGCGATCCAGAAGATTGTAGGCCGTGGGCCAATCGTAGAACACCTCGGGGACACACCCTTTTATTAGCTGTTCGGGCAAGGCGCCAATCGCCACCGGAGAATTTAGAGGAAGCCGCAATTGTATTCATTTAAGGCAGGGGTGTCCAGACACTTTGGGCACTTTAAGACTTGTGGACTTCAACTCCCAGCATGCTGGCTGGGGAATTCTGGGAGTTGAAGTCCACAAGTCTTAAAGTTCCCAAGTTTGGACACCCCTGCATTAAGGGATTCCTTTCTCTTAGAACACGTGGGCTTCCAGAATTCCTCAGCAAGCTTGCTGGGGAATTCTTGGATTCAAAATTCACACATCTTAAAGTTGTCAAGGTTTTTTTTTTTGGGGGGGGGGCTGCCTTGGAATGTCTGTAGCTGTCAGGGGACCCTGGAGAAAACAGTCTGCAAGTCAAACAAAGTTGTCTTACTTTGGCCATATGAGACTGCTGGATTCTTTTAAGGAAATTGAAGTCCCATGGCTGAAAGGCTTTCCATACTCTTAAATGTAGCAAATGAAATTTGAAATATTTGCATAGCTATAAAGAGTAACTACAAAGCAGTGTGTAGGTAGTCTTCGACTTGCAGTTCATTTAGTGTATGTTCAAAGTTCCAAGGGGCTTGGAAAAAGTGACTTATGACCATTTATCATACTTATGACCGTTGCAGCATCCCCCATGGTCACAAGGTTTATATTCAAATGCTTCACAGCTGGCTCATATTTATGACGGTTGCAGTGTCCCAGGGTCATGTGATCATCTCCTGACAAGCAAAGTCAATGGGGAAGCCAGATTCATTTAACCATGTTCCTTCAGTGACACACTTATCAAATGTGGCAAGAAAAGTCTTAAAATGAGGCAAAACGTACTCAACAAATTTCTCACTTAGCGACATAAATTCTGGGGTCAATTGTGGTTGTAAGTTGAGCTGTACTTCTAAGTAGATTTGGCCACCTGAGTGACTTTGGACCGGTCATTGTCTCAGCCCTAGGAAGTAGGCAGTGGCAACTCACTAATGAAATCTTGCCAACAAAACTGCAAGGATTTGTCTAGGCCCATGATGATGAATCCATGGCATGCATGCCCAAAGTGGCATGTGGAGCCATGTTGGCTGGCATGTGTGTCGTTGCCCATTCCTCTTCCAAGTCTGGAGTGCATGTGTGCACGACAATCAGCTGTTTTTTGTGCATGCGGCACAGCTGGAAACCGGAAGAGCTGGTCTTCCGGTTTCCATTGTGCACATGCGCACCGGCTAACTGATTGTCACGCACGCATGTGTGCCAGTAACCAAAAAACAAGCTGGTCGATGCACATGCATGCACCGGAAACCAGAAGTTCATTTCCCACAGCACAAATGCCCACTTGGCAGCTTCTCTTCCAGGGCGCGTCCCCGATGAGCACTGGGTGCCGAAAAGGTTTGCCATTACTGGTCTAGGCAATCACCAGGAGTAATGATTGACTCAAAAGTGCGTATATCCACAATAAAAGCCCTAAAATATCCATGCATAATAAAGGAAGAGCAGAATGCACACTAGTCAGTGATACACATTTCCCCCTTCCTCTCAGCTCATCCTATTTCAGAAGGAAATGCAAAGAAAAATGTATTAAAAAGGTCAAGGCAGCTTTGCTTTCATAACTTCTTAGACTTCTGTAATTTAGAAGTGTTTTACAGCACTGCCCTCCAACCTTTTGGACATCAGGGATGGTTTCTGATATGCCACAGATCAGTGCCAGTCCACGGACTGGGGGGTGGGGTGATGACATCTGTTTCACAGTCCACAATCGAAATGATTTTCTGACTGCTCTCCAACCCTGACAATTAGTTTCTACGCAAGTTTCTAGGCTTGCGGTGGCGCAGTGGTTAGAGTGTAGTACTGCAAGCTACTTCTGCTGACTGCAATTTGGCAGTTCAAATCTCACCAGGCTCAAGGTTGACTCAGCCTTCCATCCTTCAGAAGTCAGCAAAATTGTTGGGGGCAATATGCTGACTCTATAAACTGCTTAAAAAGGGCTGTAAAAGCACTGTGAAGTAGTATATAAAACCTTTTTGCTATTGCCAAGTCCACATTTATTTATTGGGTTTACTGCTGCTTTTATTTCTATATTTGCTTTTTAGGCTTCTCTGAGATGACTGTGTTTAAAAAAAACCCACCTGAAACATAGCAGTTGAATTTTATAATATTTTATTACGAGCTTGAGCTGAATGTTGGCCTGGAATTGTTTTGATTAAGTAAACAATTAAGACACAAAACTTTTTAAAAAATGTTATTTATTGTTCTTTTGGGGAGTAAAGGAATTGCAGAAATTCAGATGAACAGACCACATGCCAGAAATGCCCTGGGGAAAGTGTTTGTGGACGAAGTAAGTGATGGTATTTAATTTTCCCTTATATAGATATTGTTTGAAAGGCTATGGGTGTCCAAGGTCACCATAATTGTCAATGAATAGTAGTTTCCTAGATCTTAAGGCAGATTTTGTAGTAGAAGCCACATATGAAAAACAAATTGTGCACATACCAGCTTAGGTATTTTATCAGCCAAAGTGTGATCACACATACATAGATGAAGCCTCAAATAAAGTTTTCATTGAATTGAATATTGGATTTATTCTCGTCTTTCATTAGCTATATGAAATCCTTGATGTTCTCCATTTTGATGAAAGTATCCGTGCTGTAATAGTCAAAAGCAAAGTAAAGGGTGTTTTTTGTGCTGGTAAGTAAAGCTGTTTTTTAATTTGAAAAAGCAAAAAAAAAAAAAAAAAAAACCCAAATCTGAAAATGGGTGGAAGAAAATACATCACTTAACCAGGGGTGGGTTGCTGCCAGCATTACTGCCGGTTCGGTACGCAAATTTTTTTTACTTTGTTATTAAAAAGTAAATAATATTATTAAATAATACACATTTCTTTATATGAACCGTTTGAGTCTATGGAAAATTCAGCCTACTTATTTCTACCATCATATGATTCTTCTGTAGTTCATGCAGCACAGTGGTGGGTTCCAGATCCTGTTGCAACCGCTATGGTTGCAACGGGGCCCGGTGTCCACCACATGAATGCACACGTGTGCAGTGTGCACATGCGTCTTTACCTCTTGCGCCGCCTCTGTGATGCTCCAGCTGCTTGACAGAGCGTCACGCAGGCGCTGTGCCCTTTGTGCGCATGCGCAGAAGTGCCAAAAAGCTCAAATACAGGTAAGGAGCTCAGGCGGGCGGGTGGGCCCTCTGGAGCACCGTACCAGAACGGTACCCGGTGCTCCGGGGAGGCACTGGTAAGCCCATTCCGGGGCGTACCGTCTGCAACCCACCACTGATGCAGCAGATATTGATGTGTTTGAAACATTACCTTCAAGCATTTCTCTTTCCATATTTCCCAAATTATGCCTTGGTTTTGCAAATGTAGGTGCCGACTTAAAAGAGCGAGCTCGAATGAGTGATGCTGAAGCTGACCATTTTGTTCAGAGGCTCAGAAGTTTAATGGACAACATTGGTAAGGACCTGGCAGATCCCTTTGTTCACAAGTGAATCAGGCTTTCATATGAAGCAAAGTCAGAAGTCTTTGTGTCATCCATAAAGCAAAAATAAATGTTTTGAGAAGTCCCTTGTTTTTTCCATTATCTGTCAGGTATCAACAATGTGATATCTGCCTGTTTGGAATCTAACTTGTACATCTGTTTGTGTGTGTGTGGTGTGTGTGTGTGTGCGTGCATGCGTGCTGGTCTTGTTATATTCAGGTCTTTTTCCATGTAAGATTGAGATTGTCTTGGCAACGTTTCGGCAAGGTCTCACTCGCCATCTTCAGGCTGGTGTTTTTGGCTTAAAGCGTGGTCAGAGCTGCCGTCTTTCTATAGATCTTGGTGGGATGTGTGTGGAGTGCTGGCTTTGTTTCAGTAAGTGGATTGATTGGTTGTGTGGTTGTATCATGATAAGTAGATTGGTGCTGATTGCTGCTGGCTGTGTGTCCGTTGTTTATGTTGTAACAGCCTGGGTGGTGGGTGGGGCTCGTTTGTTGACTAGGGCTGGTTTCCAGATGTCTGGCAGGCGGGAGGTATCGTCACATTTATTCATGTTGTGGGGGTGTTTCTCTATTTCGATGGCATCCATAATTATTCTCTTGTTTTGTGAAAACAAGAGAATAATTATGGATGCCATCGAAATAGAGAAACACCCCCACAACATGAATAAATGTGACGATACCTCCCGCCTACCAGACATCTGGAAACAACCCTAGTCAAAAAACCAGCCCCAACCACCCACCCAGGCGTTTCAACCTAAACAAACGACCACACAGCCACCAGAA